TCAACTGAGCTGTGTATGATCCGCATGGGGACTTGTGGTGGCCAAGATTTTTGCGTGGAGTGAATATGTTCTTTGAAGCAATTCGGACTGGTTCTCCAAGAGGATTAGTAAGGAAGATATCACCAGTCTTGTGAAGAACGCGAGGAAGCATATCCAGTGGAGACTCAGATAGGTATTGGAAATCATAGTATAAGAGGTGAAAGCCACATTTTGGAAGTTCTAACTTCCCCCCTGAACACCAAAGAAGGTCATGCCATAGTTGTGCGTCAGATTGGAGTCTTTCCAAGAGATCATCAAGGGAAGCATCTGGGGGTGAGGCGGTGATGACAGTGGAGTCGTCAACAAAACCAATGATTGACATGGAGAAGGAGAGAGTTCCATCTGGACTGTAGAAAGTCATGCCATAGGATTCAGTGTTATGAGCCTCAAACAGTCTACTTGACAAGAGAGCCCAAATAACTGGACTGTTGGCAGACCCTTGTCCAGTGCCATGAATTGGGAATCTGGGACAGTGGTGATAAGATGCATTAGTGATACGGTTGGAAACCTTCAATTTGTAGTGTGCTTGTTTGAGTGTGCGTGCATGGACTCCAATAACGTCCCTGTGAATACCACATCCTCTCCCCAAAAGACTGGAGAGAGACGTGAGGATGTGGTGATCATAGCAGGAGGAAACATCATTGTCAAAGTTAGCAAAGGGTGTCCTTGTCAATTGAGAGTAGTCAAAACAGAGTTCTTCCATAAGTGTAACAGTCTGTGCTTCCTTGCCTGGTGCTCCACCAAACTGAAATGGATGGAGAGTACCATCAGCTCTGGCCTTCTGGATGGCTCTTCACCATTTGGATCCAAGGAGAAAATTGAAGTTGGCTTCATACAAGTGTATCACGCAAAGTCTGTGGATTTTGGTATTACCSGGGTCTTTAYAGATCATCAGATTCACAATGGTTTGCCAGCGTTTGAATGAGTATCTGTGCTTGAGGGGGTAGTTGAGAATGGAGATATAGCAGTGCCGGATAGAGGCCTGGATTTTCTGAAGAGCTTCCAGGACATCCTCATCATCTTCATGGATTTCGGGAAAAAGCAGCTTATAGTGTCCCAAATGGCGACCACTTGGGGAAGTAGAAGTAGACTCCCGCCACTTGGTAAACTTGGTGGTAAAGTCTGCTTGAGAGATCTGAGCCGGCAGGGAATCTAGGCTAGTCACTCGGAGCAAATGACGGAGGATTCAAGTTCACAAAGTCAAACAATCTTCATACTAGTACTRCTAGTACTAGCACTTCTTATTATTACTGGGCTGMTGCTGTGCGAGGAAGWTCTCGTAGTAGCAAAACTATTAGACCAAATACTTCTTCAMGTAGTGCTGATTTTAAGTACCAGTAGTACTAGCTTCCGGCGTCTATTTTTGATATCATGGAATGCATCGAATCTTCACTTTCTTTGCTACATRTTGTATCTGATACTGATGCTTCTGGCACTTGTGTCCGACAGCACCAAAAAGAATAAACCAAGCTACCGCTATACAGTTTYATTTTCTATTTTGCACTTGCTTCCAGCAMTAGTGTTGGAAAGCTACCTMTTCTTCCAGATCTTTCTTTAGAACCCCAACTGAATATCACATCCCTATACTTGGTTTCTAATATCCTTCCTTAAATCTTCAATAGCAAGTTTTTCAGTTTTTTGTACCTTAACGGCATTCAGTTCTAGATCCTAGCTTCTGTCATCCTTCCCCCCTCCTGTCGAGAATCGTCGATGTGTTACCATGCCAAGTTTTTTCATGATGCCTTTTCAAAAAATTACTGCAGACAGCACCTGCCAAGTTGCCACACCACAGATCAAAGGACTGTCCACATGAAAATCTTCATGMGAATCTTCCTCCTCAWATCCGGCGCTTTCAAATATATTGATGCTACGTAGTCTTTTCCGCAGCTTCTATCAGCAAAAACTATCCTTGACAAACWCGTTTCCGATAATATTGAGAAACCATGGTCAAGACGTTATCATTCACTTGTCTATCGGTCTCATTGGAAAAGATCGGCAGGAGCAASGAGYAATGCTYTCGTGTTACMAAGKTTTAAGTCCCAATAGTTGCAAGTATCGAGGCATGTCGTWATAACTCACGATTTCAATTCGGGTGGCAAAGAGAGCGTATATGTATCAAGAATCATGATGGTTTATGAAAAATTGGCACGGCATTCCCTRCTTTTAGAAATAACCTTGATTTTCCATCAGCGTGAGCATTCAACCTATTTWATCKAGCAATCAACGATAATTTATTGGTTCCCGCATATGTGTCAGCCAAAAAATTATTAAAGTAACCCAGCTGCCCCTCCCAATGTGAGGAATCGAGGTAAACACGTTGTTTTTCGTTGGAAAACCTTTGACCACAGATATTGCTTCCACTTTYTCTTTARTCRAGGGTGGAATAGGTAGTGAAKACTTTATTTTTTGACCAGCGCTGATGGTTCAGACCGAATCCTGACTTCTGGGTGCGACTCTTTGTTCTCATACCGATCGAATCCTTTAAGGACTAGCTTCTTACCAAGATTCGCATGGAAGAACGAAAATAGTACAGCGGTGTTCCCATCGTGAAGTAGTATAATGGATCAGRMACTACTTATCGAGATCCAACTATTGCTTTTTGGTTACAAGGTCTCTCAGAAGTAMCATCCTTCTTTCACTTACCYCATTTTTAGCTCAATGTTAGCAACCTGAGCTAAAATTTTTSGCTGCTCCTTTTTCTCTCGATTTCTTCTGTGTGCTSTTCTTGAACGTGACCRAAGTTTAGACTGCAGTTTCTTTCGCTGATTTTGATTGTCATTAACGTCTTTGGAAAGCAAGMACAATCGAAGCTGTTTTTGCAAGTGCAAGAAATCCTGAAAATGCAGCTTCTTTTTTCCAAAGRGATTAAACCAGCTTGAATTTTTTCAGACGTGTCATTGTTCCAAAAAGACGGAGACGATAATTTAGGCACGTGCGGTGTTTTGTCGATAGGTATCTCAAATTGGTCATCAGTCGAGTCGAATCCATTCTSAACCTCAACATGCCTTGTTTTCTATTGTTTGGCCCAGAAAYCCAGAACGTCGGGCACTGCTTCCGTTGTTGAGAAAGCATCTCTTGATTTCGATGACAATGTTCTCATTTTCCACTAGACATCAAGATACGCTTGAAAGAAAAACAGTCTGAAGTGTTGGTTGTGGCACAGGGTATTTTCAAGTMGTAAGATCTTTATATGTATATTGACCTTCGAGCAACGCTTCAGTTCAACTAGAGGCTCATCCAGCGAGTCAAAAGTTTAGTTGCAAAGGTTGAAAAGAAAGGAAGCAACTCAACCTCCTCGCTGGGCTTGGGAAGTCTGTTTTTCCGATGTGMAATCTCTTCATTCCAACAATCGCACCACTTCCGACGCTGCAAATAACCAGATATATATTGCTGAAAGTCTTTGGATATTTTGTGATTTAGTCAAAAACACTSTCATTATCAAAAAACGTGTTCAGGAGTTTTGTTTCGAACATCAGGGGGCACAAAAGCCTTTTTGATACAGTTCGGTTTATCAAAAATTCAAAACTCAATTATCTGATTCCAATGTCGTTTCTTCAAATTGAAGGAGAGGCAAAACAAAATTTTCTAAATTTATAATTCTTCGTCAGATCAAAAAAATTGGTGGTATTTTGACACTTTTTATTTTGAAAAGAGATTGAGCGAGGAAGATATTATTCCACCAAGCTTATGGTCGAAATTTCATGTTTAAAAGATGTTTCAACTGGATTCTTTTAACAATTTTTCATGCTTTAAAGAAACGAAAAGCGTGTACGCAGCTCATGGTTAGATCGAATATCACAAGTCAGTTTTTTTTCGATCTGTTGACGCGGAAGAAACCTGGGATCAAAGTGTTGCAAAAAATTAGATAAGTGCAGTCTTTACCGCACTCTGATTGCCTCTCGGAAAAAACTTGGTATAGGTGGTTGTCCCAGAACTGCTTTGAGATGAGTTAACAGGCTTGGAGGTCGTAAAATGTGATTTTCGTTGCCTAATAGGTGCAACGAAGAGAAAAAACGATTATYTGTCAGGTTCACCACAGGTTTCCCATTATCTCGCAATGTCTCGGCCTTTGCATTAGTTTCAAATGAACACCCAAGAAACGAAATTTACAATGCTGAAGCGATCATTGACGGTGTGGYTCGCACTCTTCGCTTCACCGCATCAGCGTCAGTCAATCAACTTGTCGCTTCACGATGCCTTACTCTTCGCCCTAGTTACCTGTRTAATCAATTACTCACGAAATGAATGTCACCCACAAAGTCATATTTTTGCTTCCTTTGAAACACGCATGATACAGAATTTCAAATAACGCCACACGCAATGCGACAAATGCTATTTGAGCGATCTTGTCGAGATTATTTGATAGCAACGTTAATGGAGAATAATTTATTCCTCTTTTTTCTCTTTTGTTATGCAGAGTCGTTCAATTGGTCTTTAGTKAAAGGCCAAGACATAATTTTTTTAATAGGAAGTCGATAATGCCAAAACGTACAGCTTCATGCATCGAAGCCTCGAACGAAGCTCATAAAACTAGCAAGTTTCTTCTTAACATTTTTCTGGCATTCGAGATGGCTTGAGAATTGAGAGCTTTCACTTTTTGTTCTGAATCCTGATTTATTTCACTCTTTCAGCGAAAAACTTGGTTTGTTTTGACGACAAGAACAGATCATGAAGAG